GATTTGGTCTGACGAAAAGAAGTGGAACCTCGACGGCCCTGACGGCTACAATTACTACTGGGCTGATCTAACTGGCCGTCGCGAGCACTTTTCCAAACGTCAAAATGGTGGTGGTGGCATCATGGTTTGGGGTGGTTTTAGCAGTCGTGGCAAGACCGAGCTCGCCTTCCTGGAAGGTAAACAAAACTCGGAAGCCTACATTGAAACTATATCCAACTACATGTTGCCGTTTGCCCACTGCATGCATGCCGACGACTACCGTTTCCAGCAAGACAATGCTTCCATCCACACGGCGCGCTCTGTTATGGAGTGGTTCAAGGAGCCTGATGTTGCCGTGGACGTTATCCAGTGGCCTGCCAAGTCACCGGACTTGAATCCTATCGAAAACCTATGGGGTATCATGTCTCGAAAGGTCTACGACAAAGGAAGACGCAAGTTTTCTTCGAAGGCGGACCTTATTGCTTGCGTTCGTCAAGTATGGGACGAAATTGACATTTCGTTGCTTCAGAAGCTCGTTGGGGGAATGCCAAAGCGATGTGAATTGGTCCTTGATAGTCGAGGTCGCAAAATTAAGTACTAAACATGGGAATTTTCATAGTTGTCATATAATTATTTCTTTGCTATTTTTTCCCAATTGGTGTAGCATTGAGGTTAACGATATTTTTTGCCTACAATCACTTGATTATGTCTCCAATCTAGTGTCCATTGCTGCGTGTATTCTCCTCGCAAGCACAAATGCCATTTGCGACCACTTACGAAAAGAAAACCTACCTGTCATATCATTATTTCCACCACTTTACACCTTTTCCCGACCAATGTGAGTACGGTTTCCAAGCAAAGTGACCTTGATACAGACTTTAAATTTTTACAAGTTCATATAACACATCAATTTCCATCCAATGTGAAATGGTTTCCAACCAAAGTGAATTGGAGCCAATCAAATTGGCGCGAGGGATAAGGCGCGAATGTAAAAACACAAAAGAAACACACGTACTTCCAAATTTTCGCGGATGGCCTCACCTCCAGCCCGCAAATCGCCGACGCCAGAAGAAAAGAAGCGTGTCCTTGACGCATACATCAACGGCGGCCGCGATTGGAAGATCATCGCAGCGCACCTCGAAGTCAACTGCCTGACGCATCGCCCACTCGAATCGCATCACCTCACTACCGCGCGGAGGACAACGCGACAAGTGCACGAAAGTAACGCCTGCGATCTGTGCCGCGTTAGAAGGATATGTCAATGAAAATTGACTTTTTACATTGGGGCAAGTGAAGCAGTTTATCGCCTTCGACTTTCAGGGACAAATATATCGCTTCGAACGATCAGTCGTCACTCATCGGCATGCAGTATACCGTCAAGGATGTGAATTGAACCATCGCCATGCAACAATGAAACAAACAAGGAAAAGCGACAAGAGTTTGCCCGTGCTGTCCTGCAACACCAAGAAAGTGCCGATTACATGGTGTACTACGACGAAACGAATTATATCTTGTACTGCAAGCGTTCCTTGGGCCGCTCCAAGAAAGGCGAACGAGCTGTGGTGACGCTACCTCCCTCCAAAGGACCCAACCTTCAAATCCACTGTGCGGTGTCCGCCCGCGATGGGCTTGTCTGCAGCCGCCTCGAACACGGAAGCATACCAATGGAGCAAAACGCCGCATTTGTCGAGTAAGTGTACCCAGCACTGAAGCGCTCTCCACCCTGGCAAGCACATTTTCAAGAGAAGTAGATTGTGATCTTTTTGGACAATGCACCTGCTCATTCGCAGACCGAAACTCGGGTAGTGGCTCATGACGACATGGTGCTCCTTCGGCTCTCCAATGCTCAACCCTATCGTGTCATGCTTCAGTGTCTTAAAGGCTGCGATCAAGCGTTACCTGGCCCTGACATGTTTGATCGACGAGACTACGACACATACCTCGAGGCCCGCATGTGCCTCTTAGAGGATGCCGCTAGGGAGTCGCTCGGTGTTATCACTCAACCTTTGATGGTTCGTGAGTCCTTGTTTTGCCAGCGCAATATGATGAAAGCTCTTCACCTTGAAGATATGTAGTATGGCAAGTAATTCAGGATTTCACTTTGGTTGGAAGTCATTTAGCTTTGAATGGAAACTTTCATGTCTGGAAATTACCGCTCCCATCAAAATCTATTTCAATTTGCTTGGAAACCGTACTCACATTTGTCGCGAAAAGGTGTACACCATTTCCCAATCAAGTTGCGCAAGTTTTCTAATCAAAGTAACATGGATATAAAATATTAAAATTTCACAAGTGATGTGCAGCGCAAAAATTCAGATCAAAGTGAAATGCCAAGGCGCGAAATGTGCGCGGGTAGATGTGCTTAATTCAGCTAGTTGTCCATTTTCCAATCTCTCGTCTTGTCCCCGAATGGCAAAGCACAAGGGTCCAACTCCTGACGAGAAGAAACATGTTCTCGATGCACACCTTCGTGGTAAAGACTGGAAGACAGTCGGCAAACACAATGGAGTAACCATGGCGACTGCGAGGCGTGTGGTCATCACCGGACGAACCACGCTACTCCAAAGTGGTTGGTTTCGAACGTCGAAGTCAAAAGTCACGCCCGAGATCCGAGCAGCCTTGGAGACGTACATAAATGCGAATTGCCAATACACCCTGCGTGAAATGCAAAGTTTTCTTGCTGTCGACTTTCCGGGAACGAGCATTTCTGTTCAAACCATCAGTCGACACCTCCTGGGCATGCTTTACTTTGTTAAACAAGTACGCATCGAACCGGTGACATGCAACAACGACGTCAACAAGGCCAAGCGGCAAAACTTTGCCCTGAAACCGCGCATGCATCAATAATCCGGTGACGACATCGTCTATTACGATGAGACGAACTTGAACGTCTACTGCAAGCGCAGCCATGGACGATCCAAGGAATCAGGCTGCATGTGTCGCCTTGCCGCCATCAAAGGGGCCAAACCTTCAAGTTCAGTGCGCTGTGTCACCCGAAGAGGGTCTCGTGACCTACCGACTTGAGCGTGGAAGCATCAAGATGGAGAAGAACGCTGAATTCGTCGAAGAAGTTTACCAGGCTGTCAAGCAGTCGGCAACGTAGCAGACGCACTTCCAAGGCAAGCGTATTGTCATCGTGTTGGACAACGCGCCTGCCTATTCGCAAATGGAGACGCGTGTTGTTTAGCACGATGGCATGCTGTTGCTCCGACTTGGCCCCTACTCGCCCATGCTCAACCCAATCGAAAGTTGCTTCAGCGTCTTGAAGGCACGCATCAAGAGCTATCTCGCGCTCCATACGGATGCTAGGTTTGAGTGAGGTGAGTATGCCTCATTTCTCGAACGACGCATGGACTTACTCGAGGATGTAGCTCGTGAATCACTGCCATGCATCACTCAACCATTTGTGATCCGTGAAACTCTTTTGCCAACACAACGTAGAAAAAGCACTCCTGTTGGAGAACATGGCCTATAGTCAGTAGGAATTATTAATTTTTATATTTATCATTTATTTTAGAAAAACATACACATCTTGAACAATGTATACAGGACATTTCATATTGAATGAGAAAATTTCAACTTGGTTTGGAAATTTGTCTGTTTTCTACGGGTTTGGTATTATAAACAATGTTTGAAACGTTTTTTATTTCAAGTTGAAAACGTGCGCAACTTGATCGGAAAGAGGTGAATTACTATTAATAGTACGTTAAATATCGACAATAGAATTATGAATCCCATAGATGAGAGATAAATGATATTTTCAGACTAACGTTATTTGAAGTAAACTGGTACTGTATTGTAGTACTGTATTCAAGCCTTAAGAGCCTGGTCTGCGAACGAATTGTTCCTGCTTTTGGCCATTCCTGCTTTTGCAAAATCAGTTTGATTGGCTACAATTATCCGTAATCCGAATGTACTCCTTGCTTTTCGTGTCATGAAAAGCATGGACTCTCCAACCCTGCCTGTAACCAGTCATTCCTGCTTTTCGCACGCTTTTGTGCGACCAGGTCAGCCATGTCCGACCATGAGGTCCAACCGCCGGCAGAGATGGTGCTAGGTTGATGCAATACATACATACATATCATGCGTCACACATAAAACCATAGATACTGCCACCCCGAAGGCCAAGGCAGGCAAGCGCAAGGAGAAGAAAGCGTCCTCGGAGAACAAACGCTCTGTCCGGTGGTGCGATGAGAGTGTGGCGACACTCTTTCGCCTCCGTTACGACTCGCCTTTGGCAAAAAGGTTCGAGTCCAAGAACAACGCCGAGAAGAAGACGGCGTACGTGATGTTGGCGGCGGAGCTGAGCGTCGCCATGGAAAGCGATTACACTGTGGCTCAGGTCCAGGACAAGGTACGAAAGTTTGATTTTGTCGTTTGATTGATGTGTTTTAGTTCTCGAAATTGAAAACAACGTGGTCGATAACGAAGCCCTCGAACCCCAGCGATACTGGGAACGCTCCCCTGGCCCCCTTGGCCCCCCATTACGACATTATGTTGGAGTTTTGGGGTCGAAGAAGGGGTACCAACGGGAATCTCTCATGTCTACCGACGCAACCATTGCCGATGGCACAAACTCCTCGGACGGTAGAAATATTTCGCAAATATATGTATTTTTACCACACAAGTAAATGTTTTTTAATAATTTAGAAGCCCAAGTAAAGCGTGAGCATAGTTCGGACGATGACTACGACAGCGACAAGCCCCCAGAGCGTCGTAAAAAGCCCGCAAAAGTTACGAAAGCCTCTAGTGAAGGCGAGGCGTTGGAAGCCTGTTTTCTCGCCATAAAGGAGGGACTTATTCACTTGGGAACGTCGCTGTCTGCTGCGACACCGAGTCCTCCGCCCCCGCCTGCTTCCAGGGCAACTCTGGACGATGTATTGCGTGCAATTCAGGGCCAATCTGACACTATGGCGCAACTCCTTGCTCATTTGGTTGCACGCAAACAAATAATGTAACGGTGATTGCAAAGTATGTTTCTTTTAATTCAAATACTAGCTTTTCCACGACGTTTCAACACTGCAGTCTTGCGAATGAGAGGATTTGTTTCAGTTTCACTTGGATCAGCAGGTTAAAAATACAAATTTCTGTCACGGTTCAGAAAAGAGTCCGACATTGCAATGAATTAACATGTTATGCAACATAAAACAACATGTAGTGACCGCAACAGTTTGTTCGAGAGATGTTTGATTCATCACTGTTTTCAGAATTCTAAATCGTTCTTTCAAACGGCCAAAAGCACATTCAACAACCATACGAGTACTTAACAATCTAAAATTGAAATGTTTTTGAACTTTTGTCAACACTTCACCTTCCTCATGCGGCAAAAATGGCGTTAACAGCCAAGGAAGCAACGTGTATCCACAATCACCAAGCAGAAAACATCCAGTCGGCACAAGTCGTCGAATAGTCTCACCAACTACAGATACTTTCCAAATCTTTTTGTCGGAAAATGAACCGGGACGAATATCCACAGACATAAATACCATTCGTTAATCAACAATCGCTTGCACATTCAATGAGGGATCACCATTTCGATTGTAAAATCTACTCCAATGGTCGCTGTATATCAATCAGAGTGCCATCAACAGCTCCAACAACACCAGGAATTCTTTGAACTTTATAAAATCCACGTTCGACACGATGCCATGCACGAGAGTCCATAAGAAAATGAATCCATTTGTTTGCATTAGAGGAGACAACATTGACGAAAGTCGAAACCACAGTCACACACCACGACCTAGCCATACCAAATGCACCAGCGGTTTCACGGTATCCTCCCTCAGAACCCAAGAAATAGAGAAAGTCAGCAACTTTTTTTTCAAACGAGTGGACCGAACGACGTCGGGAGTACTTTGGCAATCGACGGCGAAGCCACACAACTATCTTACAGAACGCTCGTTGGTCACAACGAAGGTTGTCACGAAACCATTGCTCATATCGCGGGTCACCAAGCATGTCATCAAAGTTGACATTCGTAATAGTCAGAATGTTGTACTTCGAAGAGGTCGAGCTGGTAGCTAAAGAAATGCATACAGCACACACAACCGCGGCAACTGAGGCAACAACACCTCTCAAACCATCCATGGTGCTCGCAACCATTCAAAGCAGGAACACCAAAAGCAGGAATGGCTTCCCAGACCAGGTAATTGGGCCCTATCCGAATAAAATTTATCCGTACAAAGCAGGAATGGCTGAATGCAGGAACAATTTTTCACAGACCAGGCCCTAACTAGGGCCATCTACACTGATATTATCAAAAATTCACAATTTTGACTTTGAACCGGTACATAGGATTCAAGCCTGAACTACAGATAGCGACGGAAATAATTGCCAAGTTGTGCTGCGCAGAATCTCGGAATATTATTAATATCCAAACGCCATCACTGGAAATGAGGATAATTTCACACATTCTAGCCAATGGGTGACTCTTTCACCACGACGGCACGCATGATGTAATGTCAAGTTTGTATCAACAAATAATAGAAAGTGGCAATAATTCTGTATCACGACAAGCAGTTTGTTCATAATATCGAAAAGAAACTAGTAATTAATTGTAAGTGAATATTATATAAATGCCCCCAGTTACCAAATTCTCAACGATTGACTGTTTAATATAGATTATAGAACGTTATGCGCAAGCTTACTGTTAACTCAAACAATCGAGACAATCGCATCAATAGAATCTGCGCGAGAAGTCGGCAAAGGTCAATCAGTGCATACTTACTGTAGTAATTATATTGAAGAGCTTACGCGTACAGTACCGGTACCGTAATTGTATTGGAAGCTCTTCAGATCATTGAGGCCTCACGGCTTGTGAAAGGCATCTTAATTCCATGTACAGTATGTACCTGCACGGTAGTGCGTGCAATTTCAATGCGTGTGTGATTTACGGTATTTCGGCCGATGAAAGTGATTTGATATTTTTACTCTGTTGCCATCGTTGTCGTCGTTTAGTTATGATGTTTCCAATTGGTTGAAATTTGGCCAATCCGACGTCATTTCTGTGACACTTCGATGCAGGTTACAATTAAAATACAGGGTAGTACTGGATTTGCAAAATAATATTGATCATACAAATTGCTAGGGCCTTCCTTCTACATTGATATTCTCAAAATTCACAATTATAATTTTGAACCGGTACTTAACTTCAAGGTGAGTCTGGCACACACAACAATCTCTGTCCAATTAAAATTCCCAAAATTTGGGTCAAAATCAAACTGATTTGGAAAGCAATCAGTAAATCAGTTACTGCCAACTTTCAGAAAAATACTCTTGTCTATTTTTTGGCAAAAAACGTGATATTTTGAATATAGAATTCTCCAAATTTTGGATCCAACCAGAGAATTTTTCATTTTTTGCCGATTTGCTAGAAATTGCCAAAATATCGACAATTTTGGCCATTTTTTACATCCAGACTCACCCTTACTGTGATGTACTAGTAGCGAATTCACTCTTGATATGTAACTACATAGTACTATTAATCGTACCAGGTAGTTGAAAACTCGTCCAAAATTGGCGTATTTGTTGCGAAATCGTAAAAAAACGAAGGGTTTGAATTTCGGCCATCCATTGATCGTTTATGTTAAACACCCTAATAAGGATAATTATTCCCGAAATATCCAAACTTACCCTGCATCCATCGCTACAATGCATCCATCGCTACAATACCTGCATCAACTGCATCCACAACTGCATCCACCAATCGAATCCACTGCAACCAAATGCATCCACCAATCAAATAGAAAAGGTATAAACCAACACCAAACCATCGAGTTAGCGGTGTATGCAGGAGTGTTCCTATCTTTGGACGAATGCCTTAGTGATGGGGCTGGTCGAAGAATGAGTTAAATTGGCCCAGAGGTGGCCGAGGTAGAGTTGTGTATGTGTGCGGAATTGGCGACAGGGTAGGTGGCATGAGGTGTTCGGCGCCGTATTGGGGACGCAAGGAGTTAGCGGTGTATGCAGGAGTGTTGGGTGCGCAGTTTTTTCCAGCAAACGATGAAGCATTTCCGAGCACGCCTTAAATTGGATCGATTTCGAGCAAAATAGTCCAGAGAGGAACTTTCCGAGTGCACTTAATAGACACAAGAACATGTGTTAGTCATTGGTACATTTCCGAACAAATATTATCGTATGGTTTCTAGGATGCCAATGCTGAGTACAGTGGCGTCCACCTAATAGTACGAACTACTACTTCTGCGGTTGGTCGTAGAGCATTCCAGTCTCGTCCACGTTGAACACGCAGTCCTTAGAGAAGGAGGCGTACTCGTGGTGGAAGTCGTTGGTGAATTCCTCGAGGACCTCAGCCAGTACTCTTTGCTTCAGCTTGTTCTTGGTAGGTCGTTGGCGTGAAAAGCCATTTTGCTCCCGAGAGCGGAAGCCGAATCGAGGAACCCAGCCATCGTCTAGAGTATGCAGCTTGAACTTAGGAGCACGTAGAGTAGTTGTAGATGCCCACCTAACTAGATCTTCGCAGCATTTCACGAACTTGCAGCGCGGGTAGCGATCGCTGTGCCCTAGCTGGCTCCACGATTCAACGGACTCGGGCCGTGGTGTCCACATCACTCCGAGTACTGTACTGTACTGTACTGTACATATCAGAAAACATTTCGGGTTCTAAATTGACTACATTTGCTTTTTGAGCAAGCGAATTATAATACAAAAGAATATTAATTTGAGTTTCAAAATCCACGAAAAGTAGAAAATTTCTATATTGGCTTCCCCTACTTAAATCTTCGGTGGGTGTTGCATTAGTACTACTAAGTACAATCAGCATAACGTGGCCGACCATTGATGTGCCGATTGGTTATTGATCGACCAACATGTTTCTACCAATAGCATTGCCTTTCATATCTAATTGGACAAAACAAAACCTCTTGTCAAATTGAACTTGTGAAATATGATGGAGGGAAAAAGTGTAGTGTTTGAAAGGTTGACTATTTTGAATTGAAATGCCACCACGAACGCTGTACACGCACGACACCATGAGTATTGCCGTCCAAGAAGTGCTAGCCAAAACGCACACAGTGTCCATAGCAGCGAAAGCGTATGACATCCCTCCGCGTACGCTTCGTAAGCATGTGGTTGATGCCATCAACGGCGCAAACAACGACACACTGGTGACGATGGGACGCGTGCCACACTTGCCAAGGCAATTTGAAGACAATCTGGTAGCGTGGATTCTTGTCATGGAATATGATCCAATTGGACGTCATCATATTGTACAAAAGGCCACCGAAATGTCCGAGGCTGTCCAGACGTACCACGTGCGACGAAACTATCCACCGGGTGGTACAAACGGTTCCTCGACCGCCATCCAGAACTACGGGTCTCAAAGGCGCAAGTGCTCAGCAAACCACGGAACGGTGTTGACCATCCCGCCGTCGAGGAGTTCTTCCGAGAGTTGTCCACGTCCATCGCGCTCGTAAACAGGGACCCTGGGAGAATTTTTAACATGGACGAAACAAGCTTCGCGCCATCAAAGACATCAAAGAAAGTTGTCGTATATCGCACGACAAAACACGTGTTTGCAGAGGAATCATCTGCGTCCGCGCATGTCACCATTATCACATGTGTTGCCGCCGACGGAACCAAGATACCACCATTGTTTGTGCTCCCCGGTAACCGAGTATCTACGGAGGCGTGCGACAGCATCAGTATCCCTGGTGCCGCTATCACATCGTCGGAGAAAGGCTGGACGAACTCTTTCATTTGCCGGAAATGGCTGGCGATGCTCAACTCACAGTGGGCGAGCCCATCGAGGGGTCCGGGGATGTTATTGGACGAAGTATTTGTCCAATTCAAACGCGTTTTTTTAATCGATGCATACTCTTTAAACACATATACTGTCAAAATTACAGGCTTCGGTGGATAGTAATCACTGAGCTTCGCACAGAAAACTGCCCATTTCTGTGTATACAAGTCTGCATAAAATAAATACCTGTAAAATATAATTTTGCCATTATGATTTATAGCACAGAGGTTTATTTGATGAAAAACCTTCTAAATTAAATACTAACTGTGACTCTTCACAGTCAAGTGGCATGACGACAAATGTGCGCGTGGACGTGACTGCAGAAAAGTTCGCTCAGATTTGCAAGTTCGTCGAACAAAGTCGGCCTCGGGCCCTCACCAAGGAGGAAATACTTGATATTTTGCGAGCCAACGCATATCTACGCTATATTCATGCAACCCACAATGTTGACGTGATCCGCGAAGTTGCCACCCTCCTTGGTCGGTCCAGGAAAACCGTACAAGCCGTATGGCGTGAATATATTGTCGACAACGCTATCCTAAGTGTCTGCCCTCCAATACGTCCTCACGATCAACTCGAATTCCACGGACCGTAGGCGTCATATCGTCCGTCCAGCGATTCGTCCGCGAATAGCGCCAGGTTCGGCAGCGCGTGGTCGCCAAGGACGTTGATGCCTTTCTCCTTGAAACAAGCGTCCTACATTACGACCCCTATGTCAAAATTGAGAGAGAAAGTGCGGTGCGGTTGGTGCAACGGTTCGTGAAACACTGTGGGTACCTCCGTGGCTCCAAGAACAGGCAAGAAGTTGCTTGCATTGTCCGAGCGCAATATTCTTCTTCGGGATACCTACGTGCGTTTCATGTGTGAGGCCACGCAGCAAATTAACCCAACAACCCGTCGCACAGTCGTGTACCTCGATGAAAGCTCCGTCCATCATCACTACAACAAAAACGACATCTCCATGTACGATCCTACCGATGATCTGGACGTCCAGCCCAAAGCGAAGCACAAAGGCCGCCGATTTTGCTTCATCACCGCTATTGTGGACGGCGGCCCCGACAATTCGAAAATCCTGTTCTACGAAAAGTTTGTTGGTGGCAAGCAAACGAAGGACTGCCATGGTATGTTCGACAACTCGTACTTTGCGGACTGGTTTCACCGGCTCTTGGAGGCTCTCCAGGACCATGCTATCGCCAATGCCATCATCGTCATGAACAACGCAAAATATCACAAGTGCATACCAGACACCACGCCGAAATTCACGGGGCGTAAAGCCGACCTCATTGACGTCTGCGACACCCTTGGCATCGCCTACTCCCCCAGTGAGCTGAAGGCTACCATCTGGGCCAAGCTGCAGCCATACACGTCTGCTGTCGTACCTGAAGTTGTGGAGTTGGCATCGCACGCCGGGCACGAGGTCAAGTACAGTCCGCCGCACCACTCAGACCTGCAACTTATTAAGCTCGTGTGGGCAATCGTCAAAGGTAATGTCGGCAGACAGTACGACACCAATACCTCCTTCCATGACGTTGAGCAGCGCCTTGACGCGGCGTTCGAGGGTCTCACGTCACAAATGGTCCACGGGTGCATCATGAAGGCGGAGAGCGACCTCCTAGCCATCCATCAGCACATCAGCCCAATTGATGACGACGATTACCAGGACTCGAGTGACTCAGACAATGGGGACAGCGGCGGGAGCAGCGAGAGCTCGGACGACGAAATCGTTGTTTTCGGTTCGGATGGTCAATCTGTCGTTGTGTAAATGGATAATATCAGTAGATATTCAGTTTGTTTGCTCTACATTGGCCAATTTCGAGCAATCGATAGCCCTTGGCAATGTCGACATTTTGGTGCTAATTTGAAGCAAATCTGAGCAATATTGATGAAGTTATAGCCATTTTAGTGTTTACCTCTTTTTCTGTATAACTGTATCAATTGAGTCATGACTTGGCATCCATTTATAGAGTTATCTGTAATTCTGATTTGCGAGCCAGCACCGCAACACCCAATACAATTCGGATAGTTAACCGGCGGACCCCTCGATGGGCTCGCCCACTGTCAGGTATCCCGGATTCAATTCAACGCCCCATTTTGTTGATTTTGGACGGATGCTCGTCGCACTACTCGGAGTACATCTACGCAGAGGCAGCGTTGTTGAATATTTTGCTGCAATTCCTACCCGCCAATGCAACCCATCTGTTCCAGTCGTTGGATGTTACAGTCTTCAGGCCCTTCAAGCAGGCCATCCGAAAGGCGATTGAGGATACCATGTGGACTGACGTGTCCACATGTATCAGCAAGCAGCGCGCCATCGAAATCGCTTGCCGAGTCTGGTATCAATCGACGAACCAATCACCAATCACAAACGGCTTTGTGTGCACCGGACTCTGCCCCCCATCGTTGGACAAGATGTTGTACCGCCTGTCTCTTTTCAAGCCGTCTGCAGATATTGGGGTCAATGAGACGTGGCAGAAAAGGGTTGATAGTGTTCGTGATCATGGGCTACTTCTCCCGCCAACAAAGAAGCGAAAAAGCGCGACAAGAAAGACGTTGACCGTGAGCGGGAAGTTTATCACGGCAGATTACCACAACTTACTGCAAGCTGCAGCAAAGCCCAAGCGCAAGAAGAAGGCTACTCGCCAAACCGAAAATATTGTGGAAGATTGTGTGATTTAGATCTATAAACGAATAATTTCATTGATTTTGATTAACTGTGGTTAACATTGGTAAATTAAAGTCAATAGAGGCTATTGAAAGTTATATTAATTATTAGTTAGTTGCCGGCTGATTCAGACTTCCCTCAGGCATCGTGCCCACCTCGAAGACTAATCTTCACTGGTTAACCATTGTTCTGCCCCCACCTACTTCCGTTGTGGAGAAGTTTTACAGTAACAGGGTACGAAACGAACGCAGGCACATTGGTGGTGACGAACATTATGCCACAGGCACCCGCATTGGGCACCAGGAGGAAAATTGCTGAATGAGAGACATCAAGTCTGGTGTATTATGCACGTAAATTTTGTCAATCACTTTGATAGTCTAATGATTAAGTTGTCGTACTCGAGTTGGTGTAATGAAGTCACATAATGAGATTGTGACTCTTGTCAAACGTTCTATTTTGTCGCTTCCTGCTCCAGCGATCATGTAGTCGTACTCTAGTAAGCGTAAATCTTGTGAATGAATTTGAGTAGTGAGATTATAACTTATGTCAAACACTCTGTTTGTCGCTTTGGCTGTCTAACGATTATGTAGTCGTACTTGAGTGGGCCTACATCTTGTGATAATATTACGTAATGCGTTCTTTCGCTGCTCGAATGATCACGAAGTCATTCTGGAGTTGTCGTAAATCATGTAAATGAAGTTGCGCAATACTATTATGACTCTTGTCAAACGCACTTGTTTGTCGCATCGCTCGTTGAGCGATCATGTAGTCGAACACGCCCTGGTTGTCGCATTGATGAATATAACGCACTGCTTTGGAACAACAGTACAAACCCTCAATATATTATATCTTTCGCAATGTAATAAACCTTTATCATTTAATTTTATGCTGTTCGTCGAAGAAATATCACCCATCTCGATTTCGATACTTACTTCAAGTATAAATATCGGCACATCAATGATCGATAGTGTAAAGTGACATGTTTGCGAAATCTATTTTGCCAGCTTGACACTGTTTAAATCTATCATTGTTGGGAGGAGTAGGTAAAAGTGCTTGCAATAACCTTTCCAACAATGTATGTATCATAGGTATAACAGAAAAACTGATGGAAATAGTCAAGAAACAAAATACGGGAAAATGGGCACATCAATGGTCGGCCACGTTACGCTATTCTTACCGTGTCGTGATTGTTGGAACCATATATTCAAATATTCAAACCAAAAGGCAACACGACAACATACTTACCCTTCGAGCACCATGTCAAGTCGTCAACTCGTCAACTAACCTACACCATCGACAAGACGCGCGTCTTGATTGCACGATTCGACGAACTCGGGATCAGTAGTCGCAAGTTCTGTGAGGATGGATGGTGTGGATCAAGCAATGCACTGAGCTTACGACCACCACCCGTAACGCCAAGCTGCACTCGCTTGGAGGACAAGGCGCCAAGTGTATCATACCCTTGCAACACGACCTCCTCACGTTCATGAAAGACGTACGCCGCGATGAGCACATCTTGATGTCGATGCACATGATCACCTTCACGAAGATGCACTACAAGCCATGGCTCAATGCGTACATGGAGGGGAAGCCGGAGCCCTACAAGTCCATACTGCGGTTGTGTCAGGCGTTCGCGATCGTACGACGCCACCAACTTTTGAGGCACATACGAACCATTTGGACCCGTCGTCATGCAAGTACGAAACCATGAACCAGTCGGCATAAGTTCCTTCGCCCATCTCACTCCACGCATGAAGCAGAACTCCGGACAAAACAGCATGCTGGCGGGCTGAGCGGCACACGTGCATCCAACGCAAATACTGTGTCATAACTTCGTCGAAGAACGCAGGTTGGGAGTTTCGACTTGTTTTCTTCAGTGCGCCGCACGAGATGTGGCCAACAAATGAACACCGAGACTTGGAGTCAGATAAAGCAGTAAGCATTGAGGATTGCATCACGACGGTCGATGCTTCCAAATAGAAGTTGAAGGTCACGGCCAAAGAACACGTGGGCGTACTTCTTCACAGCCTCGGACATCTTCACGTAGCTCACTTCACTTTCAGATCGAACAAACATGTACACCCAAGGACGAAACGAATGCGCCGCAGTCTGTCTCTTCACATGCGTTGTCGTTCCACCAAATCCCACTAAAGTCCTACGGACGTGATGGAGCTTGTACGTCCATCTGCGGAGGAAGCAACATCGGTCCCTTGTCCGTTCATTGACGCGACAACGTTGTAAAAGGTCCGCCGTAATGTCACGATGAGACCCAGGGACATTTGATCCAGGTCAGCTGCGTCTTTGAAGCAGTGCTCGAAGATGTCCAGAACAAGTGTCTTGTTCTGGTCTTCGACCGAAATGCTATCCACGTAACACGAACGCTCGCTTCGTACCAGACTTGGCTTGAAACATTCTTCCTTCGTTTGGCACAAGCGGCTTGACGACCAACTTCGAATACTGGCAAAGGTAGATACAGACTTCGTCCCCGCATTGCTTCGCATGACAGTGACCCGCCAGCTTCGAATCTGGCCCCGAGTCGGCAGTTCCTCCAGAACGCGGGGAGTTTTCGAGTACGCCAACGTGAGTGAGGTGAGGACAGCGAACGGCCCAGAACCACCAAGGAGCACGTTATCGATTTCAGACAGAAAACGAGGGTGGATCTTGGTTCTCGATGAAGTCCCTGCGGCATCCAAGTTGTGGTGGCCTTTGACTTCAACAGGCACGATAGTGCCATTTGGGGCCAAACTTACGCTGTGCAACGATACATCGGTTTTAGACCATGCGGGCTTGCACTGCTGCTGACGTAAGTGTACTTGAAGTCGTCGAAACTTTGCATCTCCACGTGGGCATCACCAATACTCTGGCACTTCTTCACTCAGACGTAGTCACTACGCACAGTGCTCACATTTGCGTCCACAAACGGCTCTTCCGCACTCGATCCAGACGAGTCGACTGCGAAGTCACTATCTTCTTCACACACCCCACGGTCAAAGTCGCCAACACATCGGCGGTCGGAATCGCTGCCGTCGTCACGTTCCCTCATGACGTCACATTCAGCCCCATCACGCTTGTTGCCGTCCCCGCCATGATTGTTGCTCCAGCCCCAGGCTTCGTCTTGAAAACGATGGCGGTTCGAATCGTCGTCAGGATCATTGCTGTCAAGATCGCTGTCGAAGTCACATTCGGCCACGCCACGCTCGTTGCCGTCGTCGATCTCGCGGGGATCGAAGCGGTCACGGCCACGGTTGCTTGTACTTTCATGGGCAAGGTCTTGAAAACGATGGCAGTCGGAATCGTCGTCAGGTTCGCGGTAGCAATCCAAGTATATATATATTACAAGAATTTATAGGTATGAAATGATTCACCTATATTTAAGACCTCATAAAACGTGATATATATTTAAATAGTATATTATATACTTAATCCAAGTATATATATTTTAAATATATATATATACGTATGAAATGATTTACCTATATTTTATGAATGAATACATAGAACGAGAGGTGTTTAAATCCATATTTAAATACTATATATCGTCAATCCAAGTACATATATATTTCACAAAATTCATTAATATGAAATTATTTACCTATACTTTAATTGTTGAATTTATGAAAGGTGAATTATATTTCAATACGTATTAAAATACTAAAAAATACAAATGTATATATTCTATATATGCTCTATGCAACTATGTATTTTACAAGCAACATATTCTTTTACATAAAGTATATCTGTTCTATATCAATATATATATGAATATATACTAGTAGTTCCAGTGCAAACTATACATGCACACAAGCAGTGCAAAAATGAATAGAAAATTTGTTCCTTGTGGTGCTCATTTGAACTTTCTTAATCATCGCACCGAAATCAATATAATAGTACAACATGTGTAGTGATAGCAAACGCATACTAGTACCATGTACATACTTATCACATGACCACATAACACAAACATAGATCATTTTGAATGGTGCGCGCAAAAATGAAGTCATAACGTACAGTATGCGCTATGACCGCAAACATGCAACAATTACATACTTCGAAGTAGTTATCATAATGCGATATTATACGAGTCAACGCCATACCAAATTAAATCGTGAAATCAGTGTGATGGATGTCCTTCGTGCTCGCACATAGTAACCGCATACTTTACAAGCGAACACCATAACATATTAAATCGAAATCACTATGAATGGATGTCCTTCATGATCGCACAAAATAAAGTTATAACAGGGGCATATTGACCGCAACATAGGTTTATACATGTCAATCTCGTGACCACAATGTACAAGTAAATAACATACCCAATTAACTGTAAATCGAAAATATCATATCCAATTGTGCTCATTTGTCATTCACCATCTCATGGATGGAAAAAACAATAATCACACAAAAAATCAAGGTGCCTGCAGGACATAACTGTTGAATGCAGTGCCAGGGTAGTAATTATGAACGAGAGGACACCACAGTTGTTATTAACCCGCTCGGATGGGTTAATATGTAAGCCTGGATAGAAATTGTGTACGATACGGCAGTGTAAGCTGTTAGTGCTATTAATATTATTATGGTGCACGTCACCTATAAACTAACAACTTTTCACAAAATTTTCTACACTAAACATATACAAATGCAATATACATACCGGTTGATCGATCGGCAGAGGCCACCCCCAACCAACAGCAGAGACGTCACGACATAAACGACAGTTCCGACAACGGCGCCGCACAGACTATCCGAGGTGCGCGCTGGATCCAAAGACCCACCCCAGCTATCCGCACAGCAAACCGCGCCTTCCTTGCTGATTACGCTGCTCTCAGCTGGGCGACCTTGCACTTGTGGGTGCCAGAGGGGAAGAGGAGCAGGGAGTATAATGAGTCCAATGAAGAAGTGTGGTCGTCCCTGCAATTTAAAACATCTATGTTTTTACACTCCTAATGTTCGACGACTGATAAACACTACAGCGAACCCCGGGAAAAGCCGACCCCACCAAAAAAGCCGACCACCTCTACAATTTGAACTATTTTAATAAATTGCTTAACCTGCAATATTTTGTAAACCTAATCGAATTAACCAATCAAAGCTTAGCATAAATGCAGTGCACTGATTGGTGGATTCAATTATGAAAGTTCAAATTCAACAAGTGTCAATGTTGCCATTTCCTCGTTTGGACTACCATGCCGCGACGATGCCACAAGTCGCACACGATCGGCAAAAAGCGCAAGCTACTCGCCTTGTTCGACCAAGAATCCATCAATAGCCGGGTGTTTCGTGCCACCCATGACATCCCACGAAGCACTTGGATTGGATGGCAACAAGGCAAGGTAAAACTGACGGGCACAATATCAACGGGAAGCGGAAGGCGTTCGGTGGCATTCAAGAACCAACTGCTCAGTTAATGAAATATGTGCGACGGGACGAGCACATCCTCACGTCCATGCACATAATTGCGTTCATGAAGACGTACCATGCGGCCTGGCTCGACGTCTACAAGGTTGGGAAGCGAGATTCGTACAAGTCCCTTCTCAAGTTGTGCCACGATTTCACCCGGCGACACAACTTTTCTCAAAGAGTCCCATGTTATACGAAAATGCCGTCCGTAGACATGGAGGCTTTGCGCAACGACTTAGCTGGCCAGTGCTGGAACAAGTATCACGCGTACAAGTCGTGCGACATACTCAATGTTGACGAAACGGATGTCAACTATGACATACCTCCAGGCAAGATATGGGCAGGGAAGAGAAAGTCGTCGAAAGTGGACAATACCCATAACCACTCAGACGGCCTGACAGCGGTGTTGACATGTCGCGCGAACGTTACCTGGTGACTACCAATTTTGTTTATTGTCCACGGCGTCCCGGGTGGAACCATCGACAAATATGAGCTTGACACCTATCCTGAAGGGCATTATTATGATGTCCAGGAGGCTGCTTGGGTGGACGGTCGTGTTTGGAAGGCGTACCTTGAAATGCTACCACCTTACATCATTGGACCTCATGTCATCCACACCGACAATTTCGATTCCCATGTGACAGCATCTGCGGAAGCAATTGCAGGTACGTTGCTGCTATTTTATTCGTGTTACTAATGATGTATTGTAGATGATTTATTCAGCAATTGCAGGTACGTTGCTGCTATTTTATTCGTGTTACTAATGATGTACTGTAGATGATTTATTCAGTATCTTGGAGCCTTTGCCAGCGAATTGCCCACGTGTGTGTCAACCGTTGGACGTTCAAGAAATTGCTTCGAATACTGTTGCTTGAAGAAAAGCCGGTGAGAACTCCTGCAGAAAAGCGTTGGCCATGATCAAGCGTTCGATTGCGGCGTGAGAGTGAATTGCGGCGATCCCCAAACCGGAAATTGTAGTTGTGTCATGTATCGTCGCACGGAACCAAGTTATACCCTGTCGCCACTTCCGCACACATACACAACTCGCCTCGGCAATCTCTGGGTCAATTTAATTCATTCTTCGACCAGTCTCATCCCTAAGGTGTGGTCAAAATGTATTTGTAGTGGTTCGATTTTATTACTTGGATTTATTGTGTATTTATTTGGTTCACTGTACTCTTGTGATAGCCAAGTACCATGGTAAGTGCGTATGCGGAGCTGGCGGCTAAGCGTGCGTGACGAGACCGCAGCCGTGCGCAAAAGTGGCTATTGCTATCAGCCAAGCAGGACCAACGCGCAGGTGCCGGAATGTTGGATGTCGTGATGAATAACGAGCTTGGGTTGGCGAAGGAATGCCATAAATATTTCGGGAGCCGTGTGCTTGAAGATAACACGAAGAAATGCTACGAAAAGCATTATCATATTCTGAGGTACTTCTTTGGCCTTATTGGTGACTACTCATCATTAGTATTACTACATCGTGACGCTCCCAAATTTGCCCCGGCAATGTCAGTGAAGAGCTTATGTGCTACTTGAGCACTTAAGCACTTCACTGACATTGTTGGTGCATGGAACCCCACTGTTCTACGATGATGCGAACAAATCGCCTGTTCTCAACGTCGATGGTGGACATGTCGCGTGCCAAAGTGCTTGAAAGACCTGAAGAACATGATTCAGTTCAGCGCTGCGGTGTCGACCGCTCACAAGGCCCATAACATGGATAGCGTGTCATATGAACCATGCGATGCCTGCATTGGGTTGTGCTAGAAGTCGGGTGAAACATCGGGGTGTCGACACCACGGAGGGTGAGGAAGGCTACAATGTAACAGGTCGACAGGGTCCATTTGCTACCCACTGGCTTCGGAAGACAGGGTGTCTACTAGCGACATGGGGTGGCGCGACGTAGATATGATGCAAGCATCATGCCACAAATCCCTCGAAATGCACGTTGTGGTTTGAGTGGTACCAAGGCAACGACGGCAACCGTCAACGCCGCTCGGACATGAAGCTGCTTGTTGACTTCATGCGGCTTTTCATCGAAGGTGGATACAGCCTAGATGAGCACAAGGACGGATACTTTTTCATCTTTTAAACTTAAATGTTTATTTATTATTTCTAAAAAAATTTTTATAAAACTTATTTTTTTAAGATTAATTTTAAAGATTTGCGATGAAGTACTCACGCTAGGGAAGTCAGCAGAGGTGAAGTTGGGTTTATATTTTAAAGAAAAAGGAATCAACGCTAAGGCAGGCGGCGCGTGCTTGAAGAAACTGCCTGAGCTGCACTGTGCTCGGCACTTGGATGGCCACATCCAACGCTTTGATGGGCTGTTTCGTGCCGGCTTAGTCGAAGACCCATCGCCTTTGTCGTCGATTAACCAGCTACGACCATTGCAATTGAACGCGTCAATTTGATAAGTTTAAATTGATAATACTTACATTTTGAAATATGTTTGCACTGAGTCCACAAAGTGCAGCCTAGTTATATAGTAGTTAACTGTTGTGAGTTGCTGGCTTGAATGTTCAAGTACCATGCGGAACCGCCGCAGGATTTTCACCACCTTAGGTGGAGGGGACTAACATATTAGTCCATTCTTCTCGAGCCGCGCCCCCTTAGCGAGTAGAAGTTGCTTTTGAACTCGCAGTAAAGATGGTTAATCAGTACGCGGAACACAACGAAAGAAATGACATTCCGCCAACGTTGCAACCTTGCCGCCACCGCCACGTCCACGCTGCCACTGCCACAACCATACTGGCACTTGCGCCGCAGCCGCCGTCATGTCCATGCTGCTGCTGCCAGCACCACTATCCCAACATGCATGGTGCCACTGCCGTCACCACCACCTCTGCCATAATCGCCACGCACCACAGCTCAAATTGAGTTATTTGCGATATCTAGTTTCAAAATTGTCAAATCCAATCCTTCTAGATATTCTTACCATGGAGTATATGGCACGTGTTGTTGATATGTAGGTTTCAGTATATCTAGAAGCAAGGTGAAAACGTTTCAGGAGAAAATAGAATGCACGAAGTTTCATCAATTGAAATATGTAATTGAGGGTCGGTCACCGCCTTTGTAGCTGTTTTCCTCGTAATGGACGCTCGTCGAGGTTGCACTGGTGGTTTATGCTGCTGTGTGTGCGATATCACAACCGATGTTGCAAGAGTAGCGTTATTCCAACTCAATTTTATAGCTACCATGCATTTCTTCGCATGATATGTTTATATAGCCCACACTACGGCAACGATGGCTGTTAGCGTTGATGCTGGTTGAATCTTAGAGGGTTGGCGTTGGTGTTTGTTGATGAGGGTTGCCACGGGCGAAGTAGTTTTGTCGCCGACCCTCTATCGCTGACCGGTATCGCCACGGGTGGAGTGTCATTCAAAACATGTTAGTAGTAGTGATAACGTTCGTTGCGTAGGATGGTGTTGAAAACACCGGTACTTTGGAAGCCCACAGCTGGCATGTGAGATAATGACGAGGTACTTTCGATATTGCCGAATGATTTAGCAACATACCATAAGTCACTGTGGCCGAAGTTGTCGTCGTCGCTGTTGTCGTCGTCGCCACAGTTCCTAAACATGTTAGATGCGATTCATTACTTTGTATTGGATGGTGTTGATGAACACTGAGGAAGTGTCGGCTACAAGTGAATTGGGAAATGACTGCAGAAAGACACTTTCATCCGCATAAATTTACCGCACGAGTAGTCGGTTGGCTGCTGTGTTAAACCTAACCCGTCTTGAGATGGAATCAATTCTCATCCTTCAATTTGCATTGTTCGACGCACTTCGATTTTGTTCGACCGCACACATAACTTCGATTATCCTGTTCTCGGCCCACAGGCCATTAGAGCCAAATGTAAATCGCCCAACGAAACCGCGTGTAGAATATAATCGAATTTCGTAGCAGAAGCTGACTTGCGACATCCGGAGTACTTCAGTCAAAGTAGAATTAAATTTTCTTGTCTCAATATAGTCTATATATAAGTAATGTTTTGGAATAGAATACCTCTTTTTAAAATTGTCATATGTTATTTGATGATGCTGCAATACAGTAGTTTACCGGTAGCCCTAGCGAGCGTGACCTGTATTTCTATTGTATTTTCAGATTCAAAAATCTGCATTGTATACTGAAAGCAAGATATAAAGTGCTGCCGAATATTCAGTCGCAATCATCCTTGGAACAGAGGTAGTAACAGTTACTTGAATAACTACAGGTAACGACGGAAATCTTCACCCAGTGGTACTCACAGTCTGTCAACCATGTCATAACGACTCGGACGTGAAAACCATTCGGACAGAGCTTCGGATAGATAAATATTTGAGGAAATAATACAATTTCTGCATACAATTTCCAAGCTTGCTTCACGTAATTAAAATAACGATGATAGGATACTTTGTCAAGTTGGGTACAGCGTAACTAGCGACAACACATCAACGACAACCGCAAATCCTTACTAGTACTATCGTATTAACCAAGTGGTCATGCTCAAATAGGTAAAGCGTTAATGAATATGAATACTGATCTCCCCCCTTAAACGAAACGGGGTAAACTTGATAATTTTTGAAACTTTATATTATCCAACCATATCGGAAGGTGATGACTTTTTCAAAATTCGAACACTTGAATCGTTTGGCATTGAAATGGATGACATCATTTCCACTGTGAGAAACTGCTGGAGACGCACTGGCATACTCAGCTCTGACTTGGAGACGCCCAGCGCTTGAATGCATGTATAAATGGTTGGTTCAGACAGCCTGCAAATACCTGTAAGAGTTAATTTACTGTGTGAATTGCATAATTTGCTCCGTTTCGTTTAAGGGTGGAGATCAGTACTACGTAGTACAAGCACTACTTTATCCGTTGGTAGGATATCCCACGACGATGAGGAATATTATATGACGCAGGAATATTTTGCATTGTCGGCTGCGAACTACAGAGAACCGAGGATGAACTCGCCCACAGTTGTACTTCAGAAATATAATTCAACTTGAGGTTGAATTGCGATTCAACATTAAGCCAATCACAGCTCTACCGCTC